TTAATTTTATATTTTTTTACTTAATAATATTAGTTTTATTAGTTTTTAAATAAAAATATTTATTTAAAAATATCAACTTTTAATATTTTAATTAAAAAACTTATTTATTGCATTAATATCACCATTCAATTAATCTTTAAATAAAAAAATAAAAATTAACATATTTATTTAAAAACTAATAAATTTAATATTTTTAAATAAAAAAATATAAAATCAACATTCTTATTTGCACATTTTCTCCTTTCTTTACATTTTTTAAAACATTTCACTACCTTTCCATTTCTCATTTCTCTTTTAGGAATTCACATTTCACAACATATAAGACCAAGTTATTAGCTGGACCAAGTGAGGAAGTCAATTGGAGTTGCCGGCGTGCTGTTTGAAATAAGATTGGTTAAATGTTAATTTTGATTTATTAATTTTATGCTTTTTATGTATCTTTTTTTTTTCTTTAACCATAAAAAATATAATTTTTTAATCATTTTATTAGTTTATCGGTTAAAATTATCTAAATATATATATTTTAATTTTTTAACTTGTAATATACACATATTTTTTATCTCTCAACTTAAAAGTTTAAAGATTAAAAATATATATACTTAGATAAATTTAATAAATTAATTAACAAAAAAAATATTTTTTTATAATTAAAGAACTAAAAAAATTTATAAAAAAATTAAAAAACAAAAACTATACAAAATCTTAAAATTAAAGGGCCAAAACTGAAATTTAACCAAATCATACCCCACTATGGTTGTTTGCACTTTGCAGTCCCACTTTCTAAGGCAAAAGTACAAAAAGATTGCTTAAAACCCTTCTTTTTGACTGCCATTAATCTCTGTCAAAAAAAAAAAAAAAAGTGACAGTTTCAAACGTGAGTATCATTTGCTTCAGCTCATTTGTAGATCTCCGTACCACAAAACCCACGTAATGCAAACAAAAGGGAGAGTAAAACAACAGCAAGTACAGTTCTCCACAATACATCATCATCTACATTGGTCAAGGCAGAAATCCAGTCCAGTCAGTTCTTCACTGACCTTCTCTGTTATTACCCATAAAGCAAATTAGAATCAGCTTCTTGGTTAAGAAAAGATCGTCCTCTTTCTTAAAATAATTCCTGTTTTGTTTTTTTTTTTTTTTACAAGGGAATTATTAGATTAGTGAGTAAGTTTTTGCTCAAGATCAAAGTCGAACTAAAAATCAGACAAATTTTATTTATTATTCGTCAAGTAACGTGATTGATATATTAGATTCCTGTTTTGTTTCTAATGAAAGTAGTTATGGTTATTTATTATTTTATTAATATTATTAAAAATTATTTAATATAATTAGTATTTTATTTGTGTAATTTTTTAAATAATTGATTATAATATTTAAAAATATTAATTTACAAATTAATTTTAATTTATTTAATAATTATTATTAATTATTAGGTTAATAATCAATTATTTTTAATAATTAAATTAAATAGAATTGAGTGTTTTTAACAATATAGTGGGTAGTTATTACTGCACCCATTTCTGATTCTTCATATTCTCACCGTACAATTTAGCTTAGATTTTGGACTCAGCATGTTTAAAAATTGCTCATCTTAAGTGAAAATGTTAAATAATCTTAGGTAAATATTTGGATGCTCAACCTAAAATTAATATAATCTTCTCAAATTTTACTTTGTTCTATCTTCGAATTTTGCTCCATGCTCACAATCCCCTTTGTTATAAAACAAATAAAATTAATTTAGGGAATGTTTGATTGATTTGAGGGTAATAAAGAGGAGGAAAATGACATATTTATAATCAATTAGATTAAAATATAAACTAATATTATAATTGATTAGTTAAAAAAATTATTCATTTCTCTTTTTGTCCATTTGATTTACAATGCTCTTGAAAATCCCCATGAAATTGAAACGTGGAAAGATTGAAATTCTCTTACATCAAACATACTCGCTTATATTCTGCCTCTTTGGTGATAGGTGTTATTTCTTGATAAAACTACAAAACTAAGCTAAAATTAAAAAACTTTAATAAAAAGTTAGATATATCTAAGACTTAATATTGGTAATTTTTATTAAATTAATAGATAAATACGGATTTAGTATTTCTTTGATTGTTTAAGAATATGTATTCCTTTATCCTTTACTAATATAAAAGAAAAATTAGACAATAAGAATTTAGTCCTGCCTAATTTTTTTATAATAATTTTTTAATTTTAATGTGAGTTTATAATTTAACAAAAAAAAAAAAAAAACCACTGTTATCAACCAAAGATGTCCTTAAAGTTGTTCTCAGAGTTCATTAAGTTGTGTACAAGTAGAGGTGGAACCAATATATGTTAATTTAATTAATTTTTTTATATAATTTAATAATTATATTAATGTATAATATTTTTAAAAAATAATTATTAAATAATAATATAATTTTTTTAATAATAAAATACTTTAAAATCAACTACCACAATCCCCAATGCAATCTTACCCACGAATGAAAAGTTTAATTATAAAGTTTGTTGTCTTAGTGCACACATAGGCCGTGAAAAAAATTTGAAAAACGATATTTATAAGCAGGATTTATAAAAAATTAGACAAGAAAATATTAAAATTATATTATTTTAATAAGTTTTTAATTAGAATAATTAAAATAATTTACTTTTTAAAATAAATACTATTTTCTTGATTTAATTTTAATAAATTTAATTTTTAATTTGAGATATTTAAATTTAATTATCTACTTTTTAATTTTAAAACATTTTTTAATGTATTTATTTTTATTGTACCTTTATTTTAAAAAATAATTACAATATATATTTAAAAAAAACTTATTTAAATAATAATTAAGGATGAATATAAATTTTATAGTATCAATTAAATAGTTTGTCTAATTTTATTAGTTTATAATGAATTAAGGTGTTTAAACATCTCTGATTTTAAATTGTTGAGTAATTCTCGACAGTTAAACTAATGATTCACAATAGTTAAACTAAACACAATCATACTCCCTTCGTTCCAAATAATTAACTTTTTTATTTAGAATTGTGAGAATAATAGTTATTTTTTATATTTTAAAAGAGACATTTTTTTCTTATTTTAATCTTATTATTTTTTCTTGACATTAATTAACATATTAGGTGATATACTTTTTGGTTTAACACACTATGTAGTATACTTATTAAAAGATCATTATTTTTAATATGAAATTAAAAGTAAATAAACTTAAAGATGCAATCATATATATAACATGTAAGAACCAATTGAAGCGGTTGTTTGTATTATATTTTAATAGCTAAACTAGATAAAAGTTGAAAGATGTATTGAGCCAAAGTGTGTAGATTTTGTAAGTTTACAATGTAATATGTTGTTATATACTTATTCTTTTTATTTATGAATCCACCATTTGTGATATTGTATAATATCTACTAATTTAATCTTATATTATACTTATTTAATATCATGTTATGATTATAAGTTTACAATTTTATGTGTTATTATATTTACAGTTATATAATGTTATATTTATAGCATTGTGAGAGAGTAAAATATGTAAAAATAAAAATTTTTCTAACACTTCTTATCCTTTCTATTATTCTGACTAGAGAAAGTGTATTTTTGGGTGGTCTTAAACACTTTTGTCTTTTATGAGAGTGATTGGTATAAATTTGATTTAATATTTTACACAATATATTCATTAAAAAGTTATTTTTATTTAAAATTAAAAATAAATAAATTTAAAAATACAATCATATATATAATATAAAAATTGATTAAATTAACTATATTTATATTATATTTTAATAACTAAATCAAAACAAATGTCAAAAAATATGTTAAACTGAATATACACCAATCATTTTATTTCCTTTTAATCAGTAGCAATTATAAAAATATTATTAGTATAGAGTAGTTGAATTAGTTTTTTCAAAACAACTAATAATTAATAATTAACTATTGATAATTGTTGATATTCATAATTCAAAATATCTAATTCATTTAATTACAATCAATAATTAATTACTGTTTTCAATAAATTAATTCATTTAATTAAAATTAATAATTAATTACTATTTTTAATAAATTAATTCATTTAATTAAAGTAAATAACTAATTACTGTTTTGAACAAATTAAAACAAACTCCCCTATGAAAGAGTTCAATTGGACTCCAACCCTTACAAAGTCAAAGGCAACTCTTACATGCCATCTATGAGAATACGCAGACACAAGAAGGAACTACTCCCAAAGTTCACCTCCCCAAACTCACATCAAGATAACCTGGTTTATTTGAAAAATTCTAAAAATCTCTACAAATTATCAAGATCAACAGAGGCAGAACCTGGGAGTAAGTTGAATGCTTCCTTGGTAGATTTGTACCACAAGTCCTGAGATAAATCCATCCCATATTTTGGCTTTGATCCAATAAAAAGCTTAACACTTATTTATGTTGCCATAAACATGCCACCCCTGCCCAGGGCGCCCGTTTTATAGAAGTAAAAAGAACTGTTGTCTGGCGGTTGTTAAGTTTCTCAGTTCCATTGCTGGAAGTTTTCATGGATGGCTTTTCCTTCTTATTCTCATAATTTGCTCATGTTCATGCAGAAGGTTGTAAAGCATTCTCAAAATTCTCAATTTCGACGATTTCATCGTGTTACTATGAACAAAGATTTTCCGTGGAAATGGTGAAGGAAACATGAAAAAAAGTTGATCATATGGATGGTGAACAGGATAAAGGGAGAGTGAAGAGAGAATTATGTAGAAAAGAACATTTCTAGGTAAATATGTTGACATAACATGAAGTAAAAGGCTTATTGCATGTACTTTTGACAGAAGAAGACAGAGAAATTAAATGAGAGTTGTGTACTTTTCTCCATCATCATCTCATGAACTCACAGATTAGACCCTGAAAATGGTGAAAGAAGAAGTTTGATTACATGCACTATACAAAGAAAAAGAAAAAGAGAGTCAACGTAAATTGTGCACAGTCACCTCTGAAGTTTGTTAAAACTTGAATTTGAAACAGCAAATGAGGAAGATAGAAAAGGGTGAGGAACCCATGTTGGAGAAGGGGAGCACGTGCAGATTTCAGAGCAAAAAAATGGACCTGTGAAAGCTGCTCTGCACGTGCCCTGCTTCTCCAGCAAGAGATACCCACCCGACCATTTTTGCTTCAAGTTGGATGCTCAGAAGCGTTGAGACACCAGGCATTTATATACCGAAGAAAAGAAAGAAAGAGAAAAGAGAAGGTGAGAGGGAGTTAAAGACATTGAGTATTCAACTGGGCAATCTTTAAATACCCGTTCTCCATAGTCCATCCAAGGGGAGAAAAAGAAATCCATATTTTTAAATTTACTCAAATTATTCAACACCCATCATCCTTCCTTCATAATGAAAAGATACAAAGAAACACTGTCTTGACACCACACCATTAATTCATCCTCCTATTGTCTTCCATCACTCTCTTTTTCCCCACCATGAACAACACTCGCCCATCAATGGGAAATCAAGGGAGTGGGACCATACCCAGATGGAAATTTGTCCTGCACTTGCATTGAGGAAGGTAAGCTTTTGAAAATGGTGACGAGGTGGGGAGGGGTGGGGGTGGACTTGATGGTAGTGTAGTAATGGGTAGCCATTATAGATTTGACTCTGAGTTTGACACAGTGGCTCCAGTGAATCTTATTCCTCCCTGGTTTGATGATCACCAAGTGTTTGATAAAAGGTGTAAATTTCTACCAAAAAAAAAAAAAAAAAGATAAAAGGTGTAAATGAGAAGCGCAAAATAAATGTAGCCATATTGCGTGTGAATCGGGTCAGCTTTTGATTTGCTGCCGCCGGATTTTCTCATAATCTCTCTTGGGTTTTTTAAAGGTTAAAATTTTAATTTGGTCCCTAAATTATTATACAGATCCTAATTTGATCTTTAAATTACTGTATAAATCTCCAATTTTGTCTCTATTGTTTACTGATTTAGCTCTAAATTAATCTTTCCGCATAAAAAATAGTCGACATTTCCATTATTTAATAGTAAAAAACAATTGCTTAACAGTCATGTGTCACATTAAAACATTAATAACAAGTTACGTTAGCTATTTTTTGTACGAAAAAACCAACTTGAGATAAATTGATAAATAGTAAAGACCAAATCGAGGGTCCGTATAATAATTCAAGGACTAAATCAAAAATTTTTTTAATTCAAAAACCAATTCAAAAGTTTATATAATAGTTTAGGAACCAAATTTAAGATTTAACCTTTTTAAAATTCTCTGCTGATCCTGTACAATTTCATGGTTAAGCACATCCTTTGATTAACGAAAATGCCCATTTTTTCCAGCTTAAAATGATGTTGGTAGTGGAGATTTGACCAAAGGATTGATGGATTGAACGGTAGCAATTGGAAGAACAGACCTTGGCTTATGGTAATGGCCAAGATTGAATGTTGTTGAGGGAGCAGGGGCAGCACAGTGTAAGGACTTGCTCGTTGGGGTTGCGTGTTGGAAGCAAAATTTTGATTAAAGATAGAGAGAGAAACAAGAGGACGGAAGAAGAGTTATTCTTCAGAGAGATTTTTTTGGGTTAAAATGTGAATTTGGTTTTTAACTTTTAAATTTATATTGAAAATATCTTTAAACTTTAAAAATTATAAAAATTGTTTTCAAACTTTAATTTTTATTACCTAAATAGTTTTAAGTTTAAGACATCAAAATCAATTTAGTA